TATTACCAGCAAACTATAGAGACCAACAAACTATAAAGATTGAATAACCAATTTACAAACAACTGGGCAAATTTAAAAGTTTTAATTGTCATCTTCACTAAAAAGAAGTGAGCTATCTTTGTTAAACAATCCACAATAACCCAAATAACATTATTTGCTCGAAAGGTCTTAAGCAAACTAATAATAAAGTTCATTGAGATGCTATCCCATTTATTCTTGAGTACACGTAAAGGATGATAAAGACTAATGAGTTTCTAATGATCAACTTTAACTGCTTGGCAAGCTAAACAACTATATACATACTTTTCAACATTTCACTTCATCCCAGGCCAAAAAAGAATGCCTTTTTACCAATATATATTTTTCAATACCCCTGAATGCCTAGCACTTGGCACATCATAACACTCAACCAAAATCTATTTGATGAATTTATTAATATGAGGAACCACCATATGACCCTTCTTCACTAGGATTCTATCTCATATCTCGAATGACACAAACTTATCATCTTTCAAATCTCTAAAGGTGTCTTTCAACAAAACCCTTATGTAAATATTAGTGATAAAAGAGTCGAAGTTAGCAAACTCTTTAAACTCACTCAAGAGATCGTAGGATAACTTCACAAATGAGATAGAATTTACCATCCTATATAATGTATCAGCCACCTTATTGTACTTCTATGCTTGTATTAAATCTTAATAAAGTTTGATCTATATAAATAATATCACCATTCCTTCACAACAACAACCACAATAGACAACTCTTTATCTTAAGTTCCATTATAGGGAATCAAATTTGTGGCTTATGTATGCAAGAGAATGCCTAACTTGAAGCAAGCAATGTCACTTTCATCCGTCTTGACCACAAAAGGCTTACCATTCATTGACCCCTTCAAAACAATCCTTGCTCTGATATCACAATAACAATCACAACAAACAACTTTTTATCTCGAATAGGCTAATTCCACTATGTGGAATCAATTTGTGGCAAAATGATACCCAACTTCAAGCAATACAACCCTAATAACAATATTATTTACATCTGTCTTGACCATAAGAGGCTTAGCATTTGTTAACCCCTTTAGGACAATCTTTGTTTTGATGTCTAACTTTGTGATAACAAAAACAACTACCCTCCCTTTTGTCCTTCTCTTGTTGGTCCAAACAAAATTCCTTAACCTTAGTGTTATCTTCATTCTTCAAGCCTTAATGTAGCAATCCTCCAAATATGAAATATTGGTTGGCTATAAACTAAGAATTAACTTCTTGGCTATCATAAACATTTGGTGATGACTTCCATTCCATGATACTATAATCTTTGGCATGCTTGACATACCAATAATAATCACATAAAATTGATTTAACTCTTGAGGGTCTATGTGAAGTAAAAAAACCTTAATGAGATTAACAAAATCCTTAACTTCCTTAATGTTGTTTTGAACCTACAAAATTTAGTGATCTTGCCACACAACAACATCATCAAAAGATTCTTCCTCCTCCTCCTCCTCCAATATTAATGAAATAAATAAGGAGTGAACCTTAAACCAACCTCCTAACCATTAAGGCATTATGGCCTGCCATAGAATATTCTTAGAATATTTTTATAGGTATACACTTTATAGAAGCCAAAAGGTGTAATGCTGTACAAATTCCTCTTCAAGCACTCATCTAGCAAGTTGTGAGATAAAAACACAAAGATTCTTTCAATGAGATTGCTCAGGGACTCCTTGTTTCTAGTGGCCCTACAATGAGATACAAGCAGAGCTCTCCAGAACACTCACTAAATACGCCAACTCACCAAGCAGGATCACTACAAAACACTGTTAATCACAGCTAAACGCTCCAAACCCTTCACCCTCCAATTCTGGTCTAGTTCAAAACAATGAGTGAATATTTTATGTAAATCACATCCAAGTTAAATGGAAAAAAAAAAAAGGTGGTGGTGCAACTTGACAACTATATTTTGCCTTTACTAGAAATAGAAGCTGTTGGTTGATCTTTGCTGTCTTGGTCATCATCCTAATCTTCATAGTCTTCGAAGTCTTCATCGTCTTCACCATCTTCATCAACTATACTGTCATCATGAACGTAAAGGCTATCACCTCACGAGAACCGAAAGGGAACCAAATTCTCGCCATCTTTTGTGATCCTGGGAAAAACAACGGGATACACCTCCTTTTTGCTGGTATCACAAGTTAGTCCAATACCATCCCGTGTGAAGATACTAGGCAGACTTGAAAGTGGAGCAGAATTGTCATTGATATGAGTTTTGTCATAATCGTGATGCAAGTCATAAATGATGCCGAGCCCTTGATACTTGCTCCTGGCCTTGCACACAAACATATGTGCCCTGTCCATCCAAGTAATCCTTCAGGTCTGTAACCACCATCCATGGCTTAAGCATATGGTTCTTGATGTTCAAAGCTAGCAACGAAACCAGAGCCTTCCACATGCCCTTATCGTTGATTTCCTGCTCCACCCAGCCCACTGCAACAAGATCGCCAATGTGGAAGTACCTGAGCTCTAGGGGAACCTGAAAAGTGAGCTTGTACGAAAAAGTAGAGGAGCTTGAGATCTTCTCGACTTTGCCAGGTAAGTAGTCCCATCAACAAGGTAACATTCAGGTCATCTAGGTACCGAACTATTCTTGCAACCATTGCCATTCTTGTCCCTGGTTTCCAGCTAAAGGCCTCCGCCTGTACTGTCGTGGAAGGCTCTAACCATCCCTGTCCACTAATCACCTTGATCTTCATCTGGGAAAGGAATTTCTTGCACTCCTTGACATCCATCGACTGCAGCTTAAGGTCAAGCTGACCACTGCCGAGGATACTTGGAGCACGAAAGATTAGTTCCTTTCTTCCCCCGGATAAACAAGGTCGCTACCGGTGATGCTAACTCCAGTGACAGCTCTCAGCAAACCGCCAGTCTGACCTGTTTGCCAGTGGAGAGCTTGGATAATCTCCACTGCAGGCTTTCCCACGTCGGGAGCACTGAACACCCCAAGGACCGACCCATCTGCTTCCCTGACATGGAGCAATCTAGTTTTTGCTTTCTGTGGCACAAGGTAGGACGTCATAGTTTGCATCATGAAGACACCGAACTGCAGAGGAAAAAAACATTAAGAAGTCCGGCTATATCGGCATAAACGTACCCCCGCACCCCACAAGGCTATCAGAGTGTCTTGACTGTTCATTGTTGCGTGCACTAGAGTCAGGCCTTGCACTACGACTCGCACACAAGAACACCAAAGTGACTAAGTTTACCTCGCCAGCGAGACGTGGTTCCACAGCCACAAGTGTCCAGTTTAGCGTTTTCATGTTGAAGAGGAACGTTTCATGCTTGCCTGGTACAAAAACCAGTAAATAGAGCAACAGAGAGAGAAACTACATTTTGGAGTCTAGGGTTATGGATGAGCTGCCACACCGTTGACAAGATTTATGGCAGCATTGCGCCTGTTGCCATCGGCTGCCATCGCTCACAGGTAGGGCCGCAAGCATCTCTAGAAATCCTCTCACTCTTTGATGGATGATTTCTAGGTGGCAGCAGCGCATTGCGAGCGCAGGCTTTTTCACCAGAAGCTCACTCTTTGGTACTCGGCCTTCTCAAAGGGACGAGAAACACGATCTACTGCTCACTGCAAATGTCGCGGAGGCATCCCTGCGACGAGAATTCCCCCAGCAGCACGAGAAGGCGATCGACGACGACAAGATCACTAAAGTGCTTGAGATGATCGAATCCAAGCCCGACACCTTCGAGGCTGTGAAGAAATGGATGAGGAGAGGGAACTGTTTGAGCAGCGACGTGCTCTCCACGATTTATTTCTGGCTCATGAAACGCAAGCGCTACACCGAGATCATGAAGGTACGCTGCCATCCATCTGTTTTTCTCTCATAGCTTCTTGTGTTCTTCAAACTTTGATTCCTTTCAGTTGCTAGAAGGCATTCGATGCGAGAGATTGGTGAAGTTCACCGACATGCACTGCGTCTGGGCGATTGGTGTCATCTCCCGGCGGCGAGGAATGGCCAAAGCCGAGCGTTTCTACGACAGCCTTCCAGAGAAGCTGAGGACTGACCGGGTCACAGTCGGGCTGTTTCTTAGTGTCGCGAAAGAGAACGGGCTCGCCAAGGCCGAGCAGTGGCTAGAGAAGATCCAGGTCCACACCACGGACATCCTCGACGTGATGATGGTGCTCTATCTCAACAGGGACAAGCACCACAAGGTGGTGGAGATGTTCGAGAGAATGCGGGGCTTGGGGCTCCAGCCGAGCGTGAGAACTTATCTCATGCTGCTCAAGTGCAAGGACAGGGGTGCCGGTGGATTGAATGCAATCGAGGGAGAAGCTCTTGGAGCTGTGCAGACCATTGATGTGGAGGACTCGCCGGTTAGAACGCTCAACGACGCGATGGAAGTTTATGGCTACGTCGGGAAACAGCATGGTATCGAGGAGCTTTGGAGATCACTGAAGAGAACGAGAAGTGATATCCACCAGTCCAGCTACTTCAGCGCGATCACTGCACTGGGACTGGTTGGCGAGGTCGCCAAGGCTCGAGCACTTTGCAAGGAACTTCTAGCTGGATCGGACGAGTTTACGAAGTTTGAGCAGAATCCACACGCTCTGATGCTGGAAGTTTATGCTCGCAATGGGATGATGGAGAAGGCGGAACGTATCTTGCAAAGCAAGGAGCTGGACCGCGACTCGTTCGCTCCGTACAACAGTTTGATTCAAGGCTACATGGCAGCGAACAACATTTCAGAGGCGCTCAAGAAGCTGGACGATGGTCTTGCAGCTGTGCCTGCGAAAAGCATCAGGCTGCAGTACAAAACGATGATGGTGCTGCTGCCAGTCTACGCAGCAAACGGCGACGTAGAGGGTGCCAAGGAGCTGATGCGGAGGTACACGAAGCTAGGTGATGCCGGAGTGTACAACGAGTTCCTCAAGGTCTACATCTCTCGCAAGCGCCACCCCAGAGAGTTCATGGAAAGGATGCAAGCGAACGGTGTCGAAGGGAACAGGGAAACGGAGAAGCTGTTGGAGGAGCTCGACATGTCGCCAGAGGGGGTCTTCAAGAGGCAAATGAAGCAGCAGGGTATAGGGTTTTAGAATGTCTCGCTGGTTGTCACTCCTGCGGCAAAGGCGCCAGTGGGTGCGCGCATTTTCCAGCGAGAGCAGCGGCAGCAGCAGCGTCTCTAGGCATGCTCAGGTGCTCCCGGTGTGGCCGGTTGGAACGGAGACGAGATTCTCACAGATGATGTATGTCGGAGAAGCGGGTAAGAGCATTGATTCTTACAAGAGCGAGGACGTCTCGGACTTCTGCGTGATGCTGCTGTCCAAGCCTGATATCTTTCAGGGCCTCAAAGAGTGGGTTCGTGAGGGTAACACCTTCTCAAGCTCCTTGTTGTCCAAAGTCTACTATCGATTGGCGAAGAGGAAGTGCTACAAAGAGATTCTACAGGTAAAAAACTCATCTTTTTTTTTTTTGTCGCCTGGTGTGCTGACTGTTTCGTGCACAGCTGCTGAGGGGTATCAGGGAGGAAAACATGGTCCAGACTACACAGACACACTACATTTGGGAGATGGCTATAACTTGTCGGCAGCAATCTACGTACGCAGCAGAGATCTTTTACAACGATATTATTCCAGCCCGTTTCAGATCCGAGGAAGTAACAGCAGCGCTAATCTTCAGCCTCGCAAAGAGAAACGCGCTCGCCAAGTCCGAGAAGTGGATCGAACAGATGACTGTGCTGTCTACAGATCTCCTTAACATGCTCATGGCGTTGTATTTGGACCGGGACAAGCACGACAAGGTTCTGGAAACGTACGAAAGAATGTCCAAGCTGGGGCTGGAGCCGAGTATCAACACTTACTTGATGCTGCTCACTTACAAGGACAAGGCCGGTGGTGGCCTGGAAGGAATCGAGAGAGAAGCAGAGGAAGCTGTAAAAAAGATCGATCTCGATGCAGCGCTGAGAAAAACTCTGCAGGAGACAATGGAAGTTTGCGGCTATCTCGGGAAAGCAGCCAGTGTGGAAGATATCTGGAGCAGGCTGAAGAGCTTGAGCGGCACACAGGCTTGCGATCAGTCGAGCTACCTCAGCGCCATGGCAGCCTTCGGGCGTGTCAAGAACGTAGAAAGAGCCGAGCAGGTCTTCGAGGAGCTGCTCACGCAGGATTTGAGCAAAAGTCTAGCGAATCCACACGCTGTCATGGTCGAAGTTTACGTGAGCAACGGGCTCATGGCCAAAGCGGAGCACGTCCTGAGGCACAGGTTGAACGAGGCGGTGTTTTCTCCATACAACAGCCTGGTGAGAGGTTACATTGCGAGCGGCGACACCGAGTTGGCGCTGGCGAGGCTCAAAGAAGGCGTCGCGGCGATCCCCGCGAGACACATCCGTCCGGCTTACAAGACGATGATGGCGCTGCTGCCCGTGTTTGCTGCTCGGAGGGACATCGATGGCGCCGAGAGGATCATGTTCCACTACCGTTTCATCGGCGACGCCACCGTCTACAACGAGCTGCTCAAGGTGTACGTGGCTTGCAACGTGTTTCCGCTCGACTTCCGCAACAGGATGAAAGGGAGCGACGTCGAAGGCGACGAGACGACGGAGGAGCTGTTTGAGATGCTCGACTCTTCCCCGTCCGCGGTTGTCAAAGAGCAGAGGAGAAGGCTCTACTCGGCGAACTGCAAGCAGAAGATACCATGGTAAACTTCATACTCTCAGGTACGTGAGCTACACTTCTTTCCTGCAAGGATTGTGTTGATGTTTATGTTACAGAATGGAAGAAATTCGTTTCTTCACCTGAAAAGATACCATGGTAAACTCAGGTACGTGAGCTACAACACTTCCCTGCAAGGATTGCGTTTGATGTTTATGCTACAGAATGGAAGAACCAACTTGTCTCACCTGGACACGACGAGGTTCTCTGAAGTTTCTAGTGCGACCAGTGTCAAGAATAATGTTACAAGAGCGTTGCTTCCGCGGCTTTCATCGTCCAAGCGTCCAGCCTTTTCAACCGGACAGCGTTGCTGCCGTTGTTAAAGAGAAAGAGCCGAGCAGCGTCACCCCTTGCCAGCGTTGGATACACTCTGGAAGTGATGCTGATCTTCCCGCCCTGCGCAAACGTCTCCACCACCGAGTTGTCCACCAGAACTCGCAGCTCCAGCACCTCCACCTCCGCCTTCGCCACCTTGCGAAACACGGTTGGATCATCCAGGTGGACGAAGGCTCCATGCAAAGCAGCAGCGGACAGATCTTCCTCGGGATGGTTTGCCAGTGATGATCGGCTGTGATCGGCACAGACTAGAGCAACAGGGCCCTTTCTGGATCTCCCGAGGTGGAAGAAGATGGCGGTGTGCTCGGCGAGATCTCCAGTGGCCAGCACCAGCAATCCAAACGGTCCCAGGATACCATTCACTCGAGCTCCTTTCTTCCGGCAGTGCGCGGCCGCGTTGCCAGTGCTGCTAAACTCGACGTCGAAGTTCTCCATGCTCATCTGGGTGGTGAGATCTGGAAGCTCGAAGACGAGCTCCGCGTCCAGTTGCGGAAGAGCGTCTCCTCCAACTTGGATCACGGCACCCGGCTCCAGCGTGACATCGGCCATGTGGATCCCGGGACCGATTCGCAAGCTCGCGAGTTCGTCCACTGGAAGCTGGAGTAGCAGTTCCTCCTCGTCTTCGTCGCTACCGAGCCACAACTTTCGAGGAATGCTTTGGACGGGAGGAGCTCGAGCCGCCACCTTGCTGGGAGGATCTTCCGGGAGCAACGCCCAGAGCACTCGACGATCCTTGTCAGTGTCCGCGAAAGATTTGGAGGCGAAGAAGCTGTTGCCGTGATCGTAGCGGAGCCCAAGAGTTCTTCCAGCTCCATGGTCGTCGTCTGGAACAAAGCTCCCATTCTCTGAGAAGTATCTCCCCACGGCATAGCTGTCGGATCCAAAGGTGGCGGCTGGGTCATCGCGCAAGCTCGCCTTGACGACGTGCTTGCTCTCGGAAACCTGGAAGAAATCTGGAGATTCCAAAATCCCAGCTCCTGGCATTCGCAGCAGTGGTGTCTCCAGCCTCTTCCACTCCCCGTCCAGGAAATCGTTGCTCCAGTAGACCAATCCAACGCCATCGCTGGCATTCTCGCCGCCAAGAAGGATCCGCCAAGAAGAATCCCTCCACGCGCTGCTTGGATCTCTCATCGCCACCCTTCCTCCTGCTGGAATGAGAGGGTTTTGGGCGATCTTCTTCCAGTGCTTGAGCATGGCGTCGCCTGGATCGACCGGGACAGCGGCATTCTGTGTGGTGGCGCCATCGCTGGAGATTCCAGTGTAGAGGATCACGGGACCCTGTACGAGAAGCGTCATGGATCCGCCAAGAATTCCTTGCTCGTCGTACCTCTCTGGCCCGGGATCCAGCGCCGTGGGGAGATGCGTCCAGTGGAGGAGGTCCTTGGCGATGGCGTGGCCCCAGGAGCTCTGGTTCTTGCTCTTGGACGACGATGGAGTGGTGAATCGGTAGAAGAGATGGTAGAATCCGCGATAGAACACCGGGGCGTTTGGACTGATCATCCAGATGCTGCTGTTTGTGGGCGCCTGGAAGTGAAACCCCAGCACCATTGCTGCTCCATCCCGGGCCGATCCAGCGGTGTGGAATCCAATGCCGGGCGCACGGAAGAGAAGCGCGATTCCTCCAGCCGAGATCGCGGCCAGGAGAACGAGCAGCGACACCCAGAGGAGACGCGACCTCGGCAGCGGGTGCGGAATCGGTCGATCCTCGTCCTCTCCGCGCTGCTGGACATCAAACGCTCTCAAAATGCGCGGCGCTGTGGAAGCGAGGAATGCGTGCTCCTCCTCTTCCTCCGCCATAGCTACGCAAAAGCGAGCTCTAGATAGTGATTTGAAAACACCTTATTCCCAGTTTCTAGTATATACTGGTACTCTTAATAATAATTAAATATTTGAACGCATTATTATCAGATGACAGATTTGCGGTTTCTTGCGGCAAATCCAGGATTTTACTAGCCGATGCCGTAAGACTTGTCGTAATGGCGTATTTATATGAGCCTTCAATGCAGAAGGTATTCTCTTGTAGCGTTTTTCTCCTTCCTGAGTTTTCAGTTTTGGCTGGCATCAGTTTTGGAGGAAGATCTTCGGCAAAAGGATAGAATTGTAGATCTGAAACGCTTCACTACTCGTTGCTTTTGTTATCCTTGAGCTGGCGAACGAAGCCTGACGTGGATGATGAAGGTCGAGGCAAACATAAAGGGCTAACAGACATTCACCCTTTTGTTTTTCCTTTAAATGTTTTCTTAACCATTAGTTAAGGTTTGGTTTTTGTTTGAGGAAGGAACTCTGGGAATATATTATAAAAACATATATATGTTACATTAAGCTTTCAAACAAAATTCAATCATGTTTTGAAGCTCTTTATTTGGGTTTCTAAAGAGATCCTGCTTTGCTTTGTTGTAGGTGAACATCATCATCCGTGCTATATCAAAGTTAAACCTTTTGATATTTTTGGGTAAATCTTTCTCAGTGAAATAAATTTCGTTGAGTTGCTTTTTGGTTTTCTCGAGCAAACTTTGTAAGTATGCTAGTGCATCTTCTTCAGTTTCACCCGGGTGGTCTTTCATATAACAAGAAACTCCATGTGCTGATTGCCCCAGTTTCATCTCAATCTAAAAATAAAGAAAGAGATTAAAAATAATAAAAGTCAAATATAGGAAGAGAAGGAACCTTATATGTTTGGATGTCATTGCAAATCCTAGAGATGATACTACCAAGTTTAAGAAGCTTGCTATCATAAATGATGTTTAATAACTCTTCTGTTAAATGGTCACCACAAAATAATATGCCCATAAGTAAGTGAGTTGCAATGCCGATGCTAACTTCAGCGTTTTCCATATACTCCTCAAAACCTGGAATATATCCTTGAAGTTTCCAGCGAGCATCAATAATCCCAGATTTTATAAGTTCAGTGCCCTGTAAAGATTTATGTAAACAACCCTATTAAGCCATTGAAAAAATAAATGGAAAATACTTACAATTGCTAAAAGGTATTTGTGGATGAATTCCGGAGATAGATTTTGATTTATTTTAGAGGCCATTTCAGTCATAACAAGAATGGTATTATAGAATTCTTGAAAGATAATCTTATATTCTTTTTGTGATAAAAAAGATGTATCCCACCTGCATGAAAATAAAGAAGAAACTGTTATTTTAACTTTTAAAAATTGATGCATATAACCTTTCAATCATATTTTGGAGATGATCAAGCTCTGTAATGCTTTTTGCACTATCCAAAAGATCATCAAATAAAGTGTTCATGCAGCAAGTTTTCGTGAAAAAAATTCTCAACTGGCCAAAGTTTTGCTCATGGAAAGTTGAGCAAATAACATAGTAAATATAGGGGAGCATATTAACATTAGATTTAAATCTTGTAGAAGGGATATCTTCAAAGTGCGATGAATGCCACCATCTAAATAAAAACACACCAATGAATTATTTTTGTTTAATAAAAATATTTTTTCACTTACTCCACCAATATTTTCAGCTCAGAACGTTGATATGATTGACATTGTTGAGCATACCGATTTGCAAGTTCTAAAAGTACTTTGTTATTCACATGAGGCAATCTTTTAACAAAAGAGATGTAAGAGGAGGTTATAAAGGTTAATATGAATGTCACTTACCGATAAATAGTCTTAGCAATCCAAGGATCATCAATGCTATAGTGCTTGATATATGCATTATTGTAAATCCTCGGCAAGCAGTCATGAAGTGGATTTTCTAGCTCAAATGTGACCTGTAGAGATAATAGATACATCTGGATTTTCAAGCTATCTAGATCTCATTACCTCTCCCATGAGGTTTTTCTTGGTTGCCGATGTGTGAGAGCTTTCAACATTAAGTAAATAATCGTGGGAGTACTTGAAAGTCTTTGTAAGAATCTCCTCATTCGGAAAATCAACTTGGGAAGCCCGATACAAGTGGAGCATTGCAGAGACCCCATGTGGCAATTCACCAACAAAGCAGCAAAACTTGTCTCCTGGCAGCCAGAACTGGTTGAATGCATCTGTGCGTAGTTCCGAGATTTAGATTCTTCCATCACAAAACGTTTTTGTACCTGGAGATACACTATATCCATGCATCCGAAGGATACGGAAGGCCATTGCTGTGTCCTCGATGTCATTGACTATGCACGTAGATTCCCATCCAATTCCTTCGTTTGTCCAGAAGCTGGTGCAAACCCAAAGTAAGTACTAAAAGTATAGCAGCATTGTACCTATACAGGTAGTCAAGGACGGCTTTGATCTCATCTCTGAAGAAGAGGTCAATGCCCAAGCGCTCAATGGTGTCGACCACCCGTAAACTTTCGAAGAGATCAATAGGGTAATGACAAGAAACTGCACAGCATAGTCGATTAGTACAAAGGATTGAAGAAGACAGCGGTTTACCAGCATAGTTTTGATTTTTCATAGCTTTTTGCAAGTATTGCAACGATTTTTTGTCCTTGGTCTTCAAGTAAACACATGCGGTTGACGAGGGCGAGCTAAAAAAGGATCCATCTTTGGACTGAAGCTTGAGGATCTTTTGCCAGTCAATCTCAAGACCTTGAAGGCCCTCCAAGGAGTATAGCAACGTGGTGGGAGTGGAATGGAGTCTATCCAAAGAAATCCTGGACGAACACCAAACGTTTTCAAACCAAAGATTACATAATTGAAGAACTCACTTCGCCAATTTCTCCGTGGTGGAGATCTCAAGCAACCTCGTGAACTCTGTGTCATACGGAAGCTTAAGGCCCACCCGCTTTGCTTCGTGGAGCATCATTGGAAACGTCACCTCGAAACCTGACAAGAAATCTCCATCGGCATGGTTGAGCTTGATCATGTTCTCACGCAAAAACTTCGTGCCTGCGAAGAATCAGAGTCGAAAAACAGTCCAGGATATGACCAGAAGATCAGAAAAGAGCCATGCCTTGCGCAATGCTGTTGTGCCCGATGTCCCAGAGGTTGAGCGTGACCAGGCAAGAGAGCGTGGAAAACACTCTGTCATAGAGTTGCAAGTGACAATCATCACCCCATGATCCATCCGGAAGTTGACTGTTGATGATCCACTCCAGGGCCTCCGGGAACTCGGGAAGAGAGGAGTCGGAGTCGGACGGGATTCGGGCGACCCAGGCGGTGTCGTAAGTCGAAGGACTGATTTCCCACTTGCCACTCGCGAGTTTCATCAGCCATCCCTTCACTTCCTTGACGAGCAGAGACGTTTCTCTGTGATCAAGCTCCTCGATTCGATCGCCAGCCTGGACGTGGAGAATGCCTTGATATGGCTGCTGCTTCTCCTTTTCCCGCTTCTCCTGTGAACAAGTAGGAAGAAATCAGCTCCAGTCAATCTTGTAACGATGGTGCTTCGACTTACTAGAACCTCAGCTGGCTTTGAAGCACAGCAGCTAACTGCATAATTAATATAGCAGGCCAGTTTCAGTGCGAAGCTAGTTTGATGAACTTACCTTTCCGAAACCGATTCGGCTGTGCGTTGCTCTTGAGATTAGTGCCTCCAAATAACTGGAGGCTTCCACCGCCAGTGCGTTGAAAGCTGCTGAGCAAAACCTTTGACATTGCAAAAACTTTGCCTTCTTGCTAGAATATAAGCTTTTCCAGCACTGCTGAAGTTTGTGGATCCAGGGAAGCGTTGAAGAAAAATTTAATATCCCCAGGAGCCTAAAGAGTTTTATATTGCAAGCTAACACCTTTGCCTCCACACGTCTGTTTCCATAGATTGGATGGTCAATCCTCTCGTGTCTAATTTGAGGTCTGCAATTGTAGGCTAACATCGTCAATAGCAGAGGCCCTTGAAAAAGGTGGACATCGACATGGTCCGTCAAAGCCATTGAAAGATCTCGCCCCACAGGAAAAAGATGGGCCACCGAGTTGGGCTATCTCGACGAATTCTTCTTTGAACCGCCCCTAAGCCTTTTTTCAAAGTCTCTTCCGGAGTTTCCGGCAAGTGCTTGAATAAAATGCTGTTCCAAGAGACCTCCTCAGATGTTTATTTCGCCTTATGTCTCTTCCGTACGCCATGATTGTGTCCCTGAAACTAGATGTACAGTCAAAGATGCGTTTTGCATCTTCCAGATGACCTTGGAGCGTGTCTTTTGGCCTCCTCCAAATGCCCGTTCAAGTCATCACAAGCTTGCGAATAAGGATCGCGGTGGAATCAAAGACCACCTTTACCGTACATCATTGCATTCGAACTTTGCCAGATGCCGTTGTCTGTCTCTTCCATACGCAACTGAAACTAGATGCATAGTCAAAGTTGCGTTTTGCATCGTCCAAATGGAGCGTGTCTTTTATCAAGTCAAAGAAATTCTTGGCCTCTTCCAAATGGCTTGTGGAAGAAGGATTGTGGTGCTTTACCATAGCACTACTGCGGCCGTGTGTATGAAAGCCCTTGGTGCAAATAGAATTGCACTCATACAACGTTATTAGAAATCATTTAGCTGACAAGTTAACTCCTTGTCAAGTTCTAATGTAAGCTGTTCCTGACTTGATTTGAATGCCTCTCAATCTCTCCATAAACTCCAGAGAGTGTTCTTCTTTCTTCCTCTTCTTTAGCTCCTGTTCTTGCTTCTTTAGCTTCTTCTCTTGCTTCCTTTTCCCCGGTTTTACATGGTGGAACTTATGTGAGAACTGCCGGAAGGCTTCCTTGGGGGTCAGCTGCATCAAACATAAAGTAAAATCAGAAAGTAAATAGAACAAAAACTTACAGTTCGGCCATGCTCATCGCGGTGGTCCAAGTTGAATTCGAATTTACCATTTTCTGGTGTCCTTTTGTCTCTGCTTCTTCCAATCCATTCGCCTCTAGATTCCTTCAAGCTCCCATTCTCTCGAAAAAATTGAAGAACGCCAGCCAGTCCTTTCCCTACGTGATCCTCTTTTGTTGGCAGCAAAGATTTGAAATCCATCCTGCTGTAGGCTTCTTCATCTCTAGTAGTAGCTGGTAGATATCAAATATAAGAACAGTGAAAATTGGAATCAAATCACATGCTTACCTTCGTGATTCTGCTGTAGACCCGAGCAAAACTCCTCAATCTCTGTCAATACAACCTTTGGAGGTTCTTCCATGCTTGCCCTAGTATAAAATTACAGAAACTTAAATAGTAGTCGTGCAGGAGGTATATTCTCACTTAAACTATTCTCGTATATTCCATTGTATTCAAAACCTAAGAGAGTTTCTCTCAAGGCAGAAGCATGCCATTCCTCCGGGTCCTGATTGACACGAAGAGCGTACTCGATAATGGAACGCGCCATATCAACCTCATGCTTCCACAGTGGCTCGCTGAGACGAACGGTTTTGCCCTGCTCACGAAGAGGCTTAAGCCTCCACTTCCATGTCAGGACGCGCAAGCAGACCTGTGTAATTACTCTTGCCCTTGCCTTCCATCCAAACCACCCCGAGGTACACATTCACGGCGATTTCTACCTGGACAACGAAGTTAGTGAAACAACAATGGAACACCACAGTACCGTTTTCGTCTGCTCGCGGAAGCTTCTGATGCGCATGGCCTTGGTCGCTTTGTCACCGTCAGTTGGATAGAAGCGTATCGCTCGAGACGTTAAAAGCCATCCCAGAAGAGAGCGGAGCTCCAGTCACCGCTCGGGCCTTTGTCTCGGATAAGCGTCCGGAGCAACATCAGCTGCGAGCAAGGGACACTCGTAAAAACACGAAGAAGACTCGTAAGACTTCTTTACATACCTGCCCAGACGTTTCCTTGAGGGGAAGAAGCCATCGGAAGAGACTTATCACGTCGCTGAACGAGAGTGTTTTCAGCACCTATTGACGAGGTTGTAAATATTTGTCACTCACGCTCCCTGCAGATACCTTACCTTCGGAATTAAACTCTCTATCGAGCTGCCCAACTCACACCGGACGCTCGTCCCTTCCAGCTCCAGAACCTCCAGAATGCTCTACAGGAAAGAAAAGCATATTAGAATGTTATAAAACGTAAAATCCTCAGCTCACGTAGAGAAGTTCGTTGCTCACGGTGGCTAAGCTCTGGACCTAACATCGTTGAAAAGCCTAGATGGAGATACCCCTCTCGAGGTATCCCAAGCACCGGGACGTAGAGTTTTGGCGGGAGTTTTAATTCTCAAGGGTCTTCCTTTAGGGTTCTAGAGCTCATGGCGACGATCGTGCTCACGCGCGAGGAAGCGAAGATTCTCGACGCTCTCCGTCTGGCGATCCGTAAATGCGACTTGAAGACCGAGGTGAGAGTGGCGGGCGGATGGGTGCGCGATAAGGTCTAGATCATTTAGCTTGAATCGTTCTAGCTCAATTCAATTCGCGCAGCTCCTTGGCGTCGAGAGCCACGATTTGGATATTGCGCTGGATGGTATGACTGGGCAGCAGTTCTGTGATCGTGTGCTCCCGTGCTTGAGGAAGACCGATCCTTCGTGTTCTTACAAAGTTATCAAAAGGTTTGTGTGTCTAGAGCTTGTTATTTTTCTAACAACTGGAATTTACATGTTGTAGCAATCCAGAACGATCCAAGCATTTAGAAACGACCAAGCTGGAGATCCTGGGTGGAGAGCTTGATGTTGTTAATCTCCGATCCGAGACCTACTCCAACGATTCCAGGATCCCAACATCAATGGTACTATGGCCCTTTTGATTTTCACTCGACTTCCTCTTGTTCTTACGCTCTTTTCCTTCTTGCTAGAAATTTGGAACACCTTCCGAAGACGCTTACCGGAGAGATCTCACGATCAACAGCCTCTTCTACAACGTTGCGGCTGACAAGGTTGAGGACTTCACTGGTCGAGGTTTGTGTATATTTCATCTTTCGATTCTTTCCACAACTGTGTTGGCCAGGTGCAATGGACCTCAAGCTTGGAAAGATCAGGACTCCGTTGCCTCCGCTCGTTACTTTTCTAGATGATCCATTGCGTGTCCTGAGATCCATTCGGTTTGGTCTGTGACTACTTGTCTTCACCTTAGAATTCTAATTACCTTTCTTTTTCCTGATCAGCGGCGCGCTTTAATTTTGAGCTGGACGAGGAACTGGAGTGCGTGGCATCTGCTGATTCTGTGAAGGCTGCATTCGAAACAAAGATCACCAGGGAGCGCATTTCTCAGGAGGTGGAATAACGATCTCTTGGTTTTTATTTTTCGTGTGCCTCTTACATTCGTATTTCAGATTCAAGCCATGCTCTTCGGAAAGAATCCTGCTCGGGCGATGTGCCTGCTGCACAAGCTTGGTTATTGGCCTCTGATTTTTACGAGGCCAGTGAGTGCGCAAAGGTAGTCAGTTCAGTCCCTCCTTTTCGTTTCTCGAACTCATTTAAATCTTTGCTAGTGTGAAGGACTTTCAAGTCGTTTGCGAGACTCTAGAGTCTGTCAACATTCCTGAGGTACTTACACTGAACACTTTGGTTTTGACTCTTTAACTTACTCAACGCAGGAAGGTGAAAGGCGTCTTGTTCTTGTTGCTGGGATTCTCTATCCATTCAAGAAAGAAAACGATACAGTTTTGGGCTCGATGGCCGAGAGAATAGGATTAAAAGCAATGCTTAAAAAGGTACACGTTCTATACATTTCCTTCCTCTCTTGAACTGTCTCGTGTACCAGGTGAAAGCATTGTACAAAGCAATTGGAAATACCTTCGTGCAAGATTGGTATGAGTTGAACAAATGTACACTTTCTGGAGGATTACCTTGTCTTTTCAACGAAAGTTTTCGAGTAGAGGCCGGCCTAGCCTTCAGAGACAGGGACTTCAGCTTGTCAGCTGCTGCTTTATTTCTCTCCGTGCCAGCCCCTAGCGTCCAGCAGAAAGACGTGTTTAACGCTATTCTAAAAAGCATCAGCTTATCTGGTAAGAAGTAGTAGATTTTTTCGTTTTCAATATTCAATACTTTTTTCAGGATTGTTAAATTTAAAACCTCTGCTCACGGGGAACGATCTCAAACTCGAATTTCACATTGTTAGCGGTCCGAGAGTGGGTGAGCTGGTAATTCTTTGAACCTTCCATTCACAAGATATTATCGAATGGTTGTTTTACAGAAAGAAGCTATGTTTATATGGCAGCTACGAAATCCTAGTGGGACCAAACCAGAGTGTATCAGATATTTACGAGAATTATTCATCTAAGGAGTCAAACACACAACTTGGGAATGAATCGTGCTGTAATTATCAATAGAACGAAAGGTAAAAAGTTGTGATTTTAACTGTGGCTAAGTTAATATTTTTTTCAAGTATCGCTAAGGTTTCTGTTGCTTATAGTTGTTTGCTATTAACGTTTCTTCTATTTTACGTAGTTCGCTCTATGGTACTATCTACATGAGATCAAGCTTATTGCCACTCTCGCAAGTCCCAGCGATTGGTTAGCAGCCTTTTGACGTGGTCGCCCAGAAGTTTCTTCCCTTTCTCGAGCTTCTCTCGCAGCGCTTGGACTGATTTTTGCAGAGCAGCCACGGGAGAAGGCTCGATGCCAACACGTCGCAGTACATTATCGTGACCACCGCTTCGACGCGTCAAGACGAGGAAAGGATCACCTGTGATCACCATGAGCTCCAACAGGTCTTTTTCCAGATCTTTGGGCGTAGAAACCGTTTCCTGTAACTTCTGCTTGATCTCCCAAGGCAGCACGTCCAGAACGGGAGAACGTCAGCACTCCAAAAGTTTACCTCTGATACCGAGGAGGACTTTCACCAGCTCAAGAACGAGCTCCTTGCTCCTGCGCAGCCACTCCACGAAAAAGTCTGGCCTTGCTAAAAGCAACGAGATGCAAATCCTGCCGATGGAACCTGGAAGAAATCTGGAGATTCCAAAATCCCAGCTCCTGGCATTCGCAGCAGTGGTGTCTACAGCCTCTTCCACTCCCCGTCCAGGAAATCGTTGCTCCAGTAGACCAATCCAACGCCATCGCTGGCATTCTCGCCGCCAAGAAGGATCCGCCAAGAAGAATCCCTCCACGCGCTGCTTGGATCTCTCATCGCCACCCTTCCTCCTGCTGGAATGAGAGGGTTTTGGGCGATCTTCTTCCAGTGCTTGAGCATGGCGTCGCCTGGATCGACCGGGACAGCGGCATTCTGTGTGGTGGCGCCATCGCTGGAGATTCCAGTGTAGAGGATGACGGGGCCCTGAACGAGAAGCGTCATGGATCCACCAAGAATTCCTTGCTCGTCGTACCTCTCTGGCCCGGGATCCAGCGCCGCGGGGAGATGCGTCCAGTGGAGGAGGTCCTTGGCGATGGCGTGGCCCCAGGAGCTCTGGTTCTTGCTCTTGGACGACGATGGAGTGGTGAATCGGTAGAAGAGATGGTAGAATCCGCGATAGAACACCGGGGCGTTTGGACTGATCATCCAGATGCTGCTGTTTGGGGGCGCCTGGAAGTGAAACCCCAGCACCATTGCTGCTCCATCCCGGGCCGATCCAGCGGTGTGGAATCCAATGCCGGGCGCACGGAAGAGAAGCGCGATTCCTCCAGCCGAGATCGCAGCCACAGCGACACCCAGAGGAGACGTGACCTCGGCAGCGGGTGCGGAATCGGTCGATCCTCGTCCTCTCCGCGCTGCTGGACATCAAACGCTCTCAAAAATGCGCGGTGCTGTGGAAGCGAGGAATGCGTGCTCCTCCTCTTCCTCCGCCATAGCTACGCAAAAGCGAGCTCTAGATAGTGATTTGAATGCTAGAGAATATACCACTTTATTCCGAGTATATGCTGGTATATTGCTTATTAAATATTTGAAGTTCTTCCACCTAGGGTTTTAGCAATGCGAGGTGAGAGCCAGTGGCGCCAGAAGGAATGCGCATCTCCAGGATTTGGATTGGGGCAGCCTCTTGCTGCGCGGTGGGAGCGGCTCCCACTCCCACAATGCCGCACAGCTTGCCGTCGGAGAATCCAGCCACTTTATTCCCAGTTTCTAGTATATACTGGTACTTAATAATAATTAAATATTTGAACGCATTATTATCAGATGGAAATGCTGACAGATTTGCCGGCAAATCCAGGATTTTACTAGCCGATGCCGTAGGACTTGTCGTAATGGCATATTTATTCGAGCCTTCAATGCAGAAGGTATTCTCTTGTAGCGTTTTTATCCTTCCTGAGTTCTCAGTTTTGGCTGGCATCAGTTTTGGAGGAAGAACTTCCGCAGAAGGATAGAATTGTAGATCTGCAACGTTTCACTACTTGTTGCTTCTGTTATCCTTGAGCTGGCGAACGAAGCCTGACGTGGATGATGAAGGATCTCCAAACTAGGTGTTCGGCAAGGGGGTTAGCAGACCTTTACTCTTTTGTTTTTCCTTTAAATGTTTTCTTAACCATTAGTTAGAAACCCAAGATGATCTAATAGAATGGGAATATATTATAAAAACATTATATATGTTACATTAAGTTTCCAAACAAAGTTCAATCATGCTTTGAAGCTCTTTATTTGGGTTTTTAAAGAGATCCTGCTTTGCTTTGTTGTAGGTGAACATCATCCCCCTTGCCATATCAAAGCTAAACCTTTTGATATTTTTGGGTAGATCTTTCTCAGTGAAATAGATTTTGTTGAGTTGCTTTTTGGTTTTCTCAAGCAAACTTTGTAAGTATGCTAGTGCATCTTCTTCGGTTGCACCCGGGTGGTCTTTCATATAACATGAAACTCCTTGTGCAGATTCCCCCAGTTTCATCTCAATCTAAAAAGAAAGAAAGAGATTAAAAATAATAAAAGTCAATTATAGGAAGAGAAGGAACCTTATATGTTTGGATGTCATTGCAAATCCTAGAGATGATACTACCAAGTTTAAGAAGCTTGCTATCATAAATGATGTTTAATAACTCTTCTGTTAAAGGGTCACCACAAAATAATATGCCCATAAGTACGTGAGTTGCAATGGCGATGCTAACTTCAGCATGTTCCATATACTCCTCAAAACCTGGAATATATCCTTGAATTTTCCAGCGAGCTTCAATAATCCCAAATTTTATAAGCTTAGTGTACTGTAAAGATTAATATGAACAACCCTATTAAGCCGTAGAAAAAATGAATAGAAAATACTTACAATTGCTAAAAGGTATTTGTGGATGAATTCCGGAGATAGATTTTGATTTATTTTAGAAGCCATTTTAGTCATAACAAGAATGGTATTATAAAATTCTTGAAAGATAATCTTATATTCTTTTTGTGATAAAAAAGATGTATCCCAGCTGGATGGAAACAAAAAAAAGAAAGTGTTATTTTAAATTTTAAAATTGATGTATATAACCTTTCAATCATATTTTGGAGACTATCAAGCTCTGTAATGCTTTTTGCGCTATCCAAAATATCATCAAATAAAGTGTTCATGCAGCAAGTTTTCGTAAAAAAAATTCTCAATGGGCCAAATTCTTGCTCATGGAAAGTTGCACAAATAACATAGTAAATATAGGGGAGCATATTAATATTAGCTTTAAATCTTGTAGAAGGGATATCTTCAAAGTGTGATGAATGCCACCATCTAAATAAAAACACACCAATGAATTATTTTTTGTTTAATAAAACTATTTTTTCACTTACTTCACCAATATTTTCAGCTCAGAAGGTTGATAGGATTGACATTGTTGAGCATACCGATTTGCAAGTTCTAGAAGCACTTTCTTGTTCACAAGAGGCAATCTTTTAACAAAAGAGATATAAGAGAGGGAAGTTATAAAGGTTAATATGAATGTCACTTACTGATAAATAGTCTTAGCAATCCAAGGATCATCAATGCTATAGTGTTTGATATATGCATTGTTGTAAATCCTCGGCAAGCAGTCATGAAATGGATTTGCTAGCTCAAATGTGACCTGTAGAGATAATAGATACATCTGGATTTTCAAGCTATCTAGATCTCATTACCTCTCCCATGAGGTTTTTCTTGGTTGCCGATGTGTGAGAGTTTTCAACATTAAGTAAATAATCGTGGGAGTACTTGAAAGTCTTTGTTAGAATCTCCTCATTTGGAAAATCAACCTGGGAAGCCCGATACAAGTTGAGCATTGCAGAGACCCCATGTGACAATTCACCAACAAAGCAGGAAAACTTGTCTACTGGCAGCCAGAACTGGTTGAATGCATCTGTGCGTAGTTCCGAGATTTAGATTCTTCCATCACAAAACGTTTTTGTACCTGGAGATACACTATACCCATGCATCCGAAGGATACGGAAGGCCATTGCTGTGTCCTCGATGTCATTGACTATGCACGTAGATTCCCATCCAATTCCTTCGTTTGTCCAGAAGCTGGTGCAAACCCAAAGTAAGTGCTAAAAGTATAGCAGCATTGTACCTATACAGGTAGTCAAGGACGGCTTTGATCTCATCTCTGAAGAAGAGGTCAATGCCCAAGCGCTCAATGGTGTCGACCACCCGTAAACTTTCGAAGAGATCAATAGGGTAATGACAAGAAACTGCACAGCATAGTCAATTAGTACAAAGGATTGAAGAAGACAGCCGGTTTACCAGCATAGTTTTGATGTTTCATAGCGTTTTGCAAGTATTGCAACGATTTTTTGTCCTTGGTCTTCAAGTAAACACATGCGGTTGACGAGGGCGAGCTAAAAAAGGATCCATCTTTGGACTGAAGCTTGAGGATCTTTTGCCAGTCAATCTCAAGACCTTGAAGGCCCTCCAAGGAGTATAGCAACGTGGTGGGAGTGGAATGGAATCTATCCAAAGGAATCCTGGACGAACGCCAAACATTTTCAAACCAAATATTACATAATTGAAGAACTCACTTTGCCAATTTCTCCGTGGTGGAGATCTCAAGCAACCTCGTGAACTCTGTGTCATACGGAAGCTTAAGGCCCACCCGCTTTGCTTCGTGGAGCATCATTGGAAACGTCACCTCGAAACCTGACAAGAAATCTCCATCGGCATGGTTGAGCTTGATCATGTTCTCACGCAAAAACTTCGTGCCTGCGAAGAATCAGAGTCGAAAAACAGTCCAGGATATGACCAGAAGATCAGAAAAGAGCCATGCCTTGCGCAATGCTGTTGTGCCCGATGTCCCAGAGCTTGAGCGTGACCAGGCAAGAGAGCGTGGAAAACACTCTGTCATAGAGTTGCAAGTGACAATCATCACCCCATGATCCATCCGGAAGTTGACTGTTGATGATCCACTCCAGGGCCTCCGGGAACTCGGGAAGAGAGGAGTCGGAGTCGGACGGGATTCGGGCGACCCAGGCGGTGTCGTAAGTCGAAGGACTGATTTCCCACTTGCCACTCGCGAGTTTCATCAGCCATCCCTTCACTTCCTTGACGAGCAGAGACGTTTCTCTGTGATCAAGCTCCTCGATTCGATCGCCAGCCTGGACGTGGAGAATACCTTGATATGGCTGCTGCTTCTCCTTTTCCCGCTTCTCCTGTGAACAAGTAGGAAGAAATCAGCTCCAGTCAATCTTGTAACGATGGTGCTTCGACTTACTAGAGCCTCAGCTGGCTTTGAAGCACAGCAGCTAACTGCATAATTAATATAGCAGGCCAGTTTCAGTGCGAAGCTAGTTTGATGAACTTACCTTTCCGAAACCGATTCGGCTGTGCGTTGCTCTTGAGATTAGTGCCTCCAAATAACTGGAGGCTTCCACCGCCAATGTGTTGAAAGCTGCTGAGCAAAACCTTTGACATTGCAGAAACTTTGCCTTCTTGGTAGAATATAAGCTCTTCCAGCACTGCTGAAGTTTATGGATCCAGGGAAGCGTTCAAGAATAATTTAATATCCCCAAGAGCCTAAAGAGTTTTATATTGCTAGCTAACACCTTTGCCTCCACATGTCTGTTTCCATAGATTGGATGGTCAATCCTCTGTCTAATTTCAGGTCTATAATTGTAGGCGAACATCGTCAATAGCAGAGGCCCCTTGAAAAAGGTGGACATCGACATGGTCCGTCAAAGCCATTGAAAGATCTCGCCCCACAGGAAAAAGTTGGGCCACCGAGTTGGGCTATCTCGACGAATTCTTCTTTGAACCGCCCCTAAGCCTTTTTTCGAACATGGCTTTCGTCTCTTCCGGAGTTTCCGGCAACTGCTTGAATAAAATGCTGTTCCATGAGATCTCCTCAGATGTTTATTTCGCCTTATGTCTCTTCCATACGCCATGATTGTGTCCCTGAAACTAGATGTACAGTCAAAGATGCGTTTTGCATCTTCCAGATGACCTTGGAGCGTGTTGTTTATCAAGTGAAAGAAAGTCTTGGCCTCCCCCAAATGCCCGTTCAAGTCATCACAAGCTTGCGAAGAAGGATCGCGGTGGAATCAAGACCACCTTTACCATACATCATTGCAATGAGTGCTGCCGCGTGTATGAAAGCCCTTGGTGCAAATAGAATTGCACTAAGGGCTTTCATACAACGTTATTAAAACTTATTTAGCTGACAAGTTAATGTAAGTGACTAATTTTTCCATTCTAGTTTAGTCACTTAACCACACCTCCGACCACTTGGAGGAGTTTCATTCACAACCTCCATAAGCCCAACTCAGGATTTGGGGCTTGCTAGCCCCGAGAATGGCATCCATGCCACTTAACCTTAGCACTTGGTCCAAGTGCTCCACGTGTCCGATCCCATGATCGACACCCCA